TCTTTCTTTCTTTCTTTCTTTCTTTCTTTCTTTCTTTCTTTCCTTCCTTTCTTTCTTTCTTTCTTTCTTTCTTTCTTCTTTCTTTCTTTCTTTATCTATCTATTTGCCAATTTTATGATTGTAAGTGCATCTTAATCCTGTGATTTTTATTTCTTTGACAGTGATAGATACTGAACATTATCACATAGGCTTATTGGCCATTTCTATTACCTTTGTTTTAATAAACTATTGGGTTATCTTTGTGCAAATAGTTTTGAATGTGTATCTTTGTTGCTCAATATTTTGCCCATATCTTTCATTTTTGCTTCAGGAAAAATTACCAAAGTGCAATTGATGAATGCAAGTGCATTCAGATGCTGGGGGCTTTTTGTGTATATTAACAAACTGCTCTTCTAACATGTACCAATTTACACTCATAAACAACAGCAGAACTGACAGCAAGAAACTGACTCCTTCTCGTTCCTGACTTTAAAACTTTCGTAATAAAAACTCATAGACAAATTTCAAATACAAATAGAAACCTGAAAGAAAATATGCTCATTTCCCTTGAAGCATTTTCAACATGAATTATTACTTAAATTAAAAATTAAAAACTTTCTAGTGTGATGAGCAACCCATTCCATAGAAAGTCGTTCTTTAAATTTCTATTTTCTCTTATAATGTTTTTTATTTTATTTTATTTTATTTTATTTATTTTATTTTATTTTATTTTATTTTATTTTATTTTAATTTTATTTAAAGTCGTTCTTTAAATTTCTATTTTCTCTTATAATGTTTTTTATTTTATTTTATTTTATTTTATTTATTTTATTTTATTTTTGTCATTTTGTCTTTTTCCGTGTCCGGCAATGGATTGCAACCCTCAGTGTTGCCCCCGTACCGGATCAGGGACCGGCAACGGGATCGCAACCCTCGGCGTTGCCCCCGTGCCTTGCTCAGCCAGTGAGCGGGAACCGGTCTGTATGTGGGATCCGAACCCTCGGGCGGGAGCGCCGCCGCACTTCCCAAGCGGCGCACTATCCAGTGCGCCACCGGGCCGGCCCCTTATAATGTTTATTTATTCAATTATAAAGGTAATACAAACTTAATGCAAAATATTCAATATATAAAATAGAAAATATGAGTTTCTTGTGGTCTCATTCCTAAAAGCACCACTAATAACTATTTAATATATATTCTTTCAGATTACTTTCTAGGTATATTTTAACATAAGTAACTATTGCAATTATTGTCATTAATGTTTTACAAAACTTTTACATACTCACTTACTGCTCCTTTTATTTTAAATTCAACAACATACCTAGGTCATCTCCTCATGTTAGTATCCACAGGTCTAATTTAATGCCCTTAATGGATGCATATTGCGTCATAGTACAGATATAACATATTTAAATAGTCCCGTTGGTAACATTTGAGATATTTCCAAATAAATAATGTTTACTCCAAATTTTGCAATTTTGCAGTACATATTATCATACATATATTTTATGCACCCTGTGTGTACATAATATTTTTATTATGTGAAGGGTAAATTTCTGTCTTCTGTCCAAATTTACATTTCCTAGATTAATAGAGAAGTTGCCCATCTTTTCGTAGATTATCAGCCAGTATATTTCTTTGTCAATAACCTTCCTCTTCATGATAATTTTCCTTTACTTTTTTCTTTTGGGATATTCCTATTTTTCATATTTTAAAGTTTTGTTTCATTTTTAGTTGACACATAATTGTACGTATTTATGAAGTAAAATGTGATGTTTCCATAGTGTATACATTGTGTAATGGCTAAATCAAGGTATTAGCAAATCCATCACCTCAAGCTTTTATCATTTCTTTGTGGTGAGAACATTCAAAATCTTCTCTTCCAGCTATTTTGAAACATCAGTTTAAAAAAGTCCTTATACCTTATGTTGCAAATATTTTCCTCCAGGTTCCTATTTGCCTGTGAAACATGTATATGTGTCTCGGGCCATGAAAGTTTTTAAATCAGGAGCTAGAGGGTGTTTGCTCTCTTTAAAGATACTCAGCGCTGGTGGAGGGTCTTTCGCAGCACTGTGTGGACTTCCTTGTTCCGCAGGCAGTAGATGATCGGGCTGCACATGGGGGTGACCACCGTGTAGATGACTGACAGCGCCTTGTTGAGGTCTGTGGATTGGATGTGGCTCGGTCGGGAATACATGAAGAGGACCACTGAGTAGAAGATGCCCATCACAACCAGGTGGGAGGTGCAGGTAGAGAGGGCTTTGCAGCGGGCAGCAGCTGATGGCATGCAGAGCACAGCCCTACCAATGGCTGAGTAGGAGGCCAAGGAGACAAGCAGGGTTCCACAGAAGATCATGACGGCGGAGATAAAGTCAACCAGCTCTGTCAGGGCCACGTGGGTGCAGGACAGGTTGAACAGAGGGGAGACATCACAGAAGAAGTGGTTGAGGATGTTGGGGCCACAGTAGGAAAGGCTGGCAATGCATGTGGTCTTGACCACTGAGACCAGAAGCCCACCAAGCCATGAGGACAAGGCTAATCCCATGCAGATCTGGGGCCGCATGAGCAGTGGATAGTGGAGTGGGTGGCAGATGGCCACGTAGCGGTCATAGGCCATGGAGGCCAGGAGGGTGCACTTGGTACCAATGAGAGAGATGAATAAAAAAAGCTGAATTATGCAGGCTGTGAAAGGCACATGGCAGGGACTGGACTTCAGGCCCATGAGCAGGCTAGGCATGGTCACTGACACGTAGCACATCTCCAGGCAGCTGAGGTTGCCCAAGAAGAAGTACATTGGCTTGTGGAGATCACTGTGGCTGCAGATGAGGTAGATGATGAGTGTGTTCTCCAGGAGAATCAGAAGATAGAGAATCAGGAAGATGGCAAATGCACCATCCCTTACGCCTTGCCTGACAGACAAACCCAGGAGAATAAAATCCTGATTTCTGGATATATTGGCCAATTCCGGAGACCTCCCCATCTAAGTAAAGAAAAAAATATATTTGTAGAGACCCTGGTCCATATGGAAGTACGAGCTTCAAAAGAGGAAAAGAGTATGTGGTTTGGTTCCTCTGGAGCTGATATAACTTTGCTTTAGGTTGATTATTGTCAGGAAGAGCAGTGATGAGCAATTGGAAAGTGGCAAAACTGGAAACAGAAGACTTAGCACTTGTACTGACTCAGTCTGTGATCTTAGGTGAAACACTCAACCTTTAGGAGCCTCAGTTACTTTATCTGTAAAATGGAGGTAAAATCTATCTTCGTGAAATCCTTAGTCCTTCAGAATATTAAGCACAACAATCGATGAGAAGGTGCTTTATAATGTAAGGAATGATTGTTATTTCCTTACTCTTGAAGACCTTAATAACTGGTCCTTTCATGGTTGGATTTTCTTTCTTTTTTTTCCCCAAAAATTTTCCAAGAAATTTTTAATCACCTGTACTATTTTAAATGAAGACTCACAGTTCTCTTATTCTGATAAGTATACCTCTCAATTGGCTTGAATTTGGAGGAAATTTGCCACTGTTTATTGGGAAAAAAGTGCCACCAGTAATATTTTTTCTAAAAAGACTGATGAGAAATTTTCTCCCTGAATATTTCTAAAGACAACTTCTTCCAGAAAGATAACATAGCTTTTTTTAAACAAAAGGAACTATATATGTTGAACATTTTTTATATGTCCTGCACAGTGCTGGGTTTTCTAAAACATAGAGATCAGTTTATTTTCACTCCCCTTAAAAACTGACATTATTTTAATCCATTCTTATACACAAATGTACTGAAGATCACAGGCGGTAAGTAACTTGTTCAAAGAGATGAAGTTAAGGGAGCAGGGTCCCTTGCCTCTGCCATTAATACTACGGATCCAACTTGATTTTTAGGGGATAGAGATATAGAAAGTAGACTATTTCTGCTCTTTCTGACTTATCACTCACATGTATTGAACATAAAATATTTATTGAGTATATGCTAGGTACCAGGTGCCTGAATGAGAAAATTTCAATGGATAAGTGCTAAGAAAAAAGCAAATCAGGATGGGTGTAATTGGCCATGACCGGAGGAGGCTGAATGGGGGAGGTGACATTTGAGTTTATTCTTGACTGATGAAAAAGAAATAAGCTGAACATTTGAGCTGGTGGAAGAGCATTCTATGTGGAGCAGGAAAATAAGTGCAAAAATCTCGAGTTAAGAAGGAGCTTCGCACCTTCAATGAAAATAAAAGCCAGTGGGGATGAAGAATAGAGAAATAACTGGAGGAGGAGAAAATTAGGTTTCTTCCATCCATGTATTGAGCAAAATCTGCTTCCCTCAAACTGCACCTCCACGCCAACACATTCTAAGTTTCTCATGTTGTTCTCATGGTATCTTAGTTGACCATTCACTGAAAATTGTTTCACAGGCATACGAAAGTACCAATGGAATTTAATAAAGCTAAGAAACACATCCACAAGCTTGATTTATGACATAACTTGCATTGCAGATCAGCAGGGAAGAGGATAAACTTTTCAATAAATGGTTCTTGGATAATTAGTTATCCATATAGAAAAATGAAAAGAAATTGAAACCTTACATCACATCATTTGCACAAAGAATTAATTTCAGGTGAACTGACATAAGTGCGAATTGAAAATCTCTAAAATTTTAGAAAACAACGTGGAACTATTTTTTGTGACCTTGGATATATAGAAAAAATATATGAAGAAAATATAGAAAAAACAATGAAGAAAAATATAAACCTTGTCTACTTTAAAACTGAAAAATCCTAATCATTGAAAGAAATTCTGATCACTACGAAAAATTTATTAAAGTCACAAAGTGGAAAAATATATTTGCAATATACATGCGATAAGGAATCCCTTCTTAGGATATGCCCCCAAAAATTGGTCAATCGATATGCAAAATAGTTTTTTCAGTAGAAAAATGGGTAAAAGGCCTACATGTATACCTCACTGAGGAATAATTGATGATCCAAAACATGGAAATATGCTCATCTCATTAGGAACCAAGGAAATGAAAATTAAAACTGAAATTATACATTATTTTACACCCATAGAATTAGCACAAATATAAACACCTAAAAATATTAAGTTTAACAATGATAACTTTCATACACTGCTTGTGGGAGTCTAAATTGCTATGATTGCTCGAGAAATAAATTAGGATTTATGTATTAAATTTTAATATGTGACCATGCCCCAGAAATTCTATGTCCAAGCGCATGTCTAGAATAATGTTCATAGCAGCAATGTTTTGCTAGAAAAAAGAAAGAAAACTGTAAACATCACATGTCCAATAGTAAAATTGATAAATAAATTGTGTTCTTATATATAATGGAGTACTATTCTGTAAATAAATGAATAAATTACACCTAACATCATTAATGAATCAATCTCAGAAACAATATTTAGTAAGAAGCAAAAGTCACATAAGTATGCAAATAGCACAATTTCATTTATCTAAAAGTCAAAGTGTGCAAAATTTTTAAACAGACATATTGTTTGGAAATACAAAGTCATGCAGTAAAAGAAAGCAGGGAAAGTAGGGCTGGGGTTGGGGTGGGGAGGGCACAAAGGAGGCTTCTGAGATAAGTGATTGGGTTCTTCTTAAAACAGTTAATGAGTACATAGGATTCCCTGAATTGCTATTTTATATCCTCTACCTGTGTTGCACATATTGTTTTGCACCTACTCAATATTTATACAAAAGTCATGTTTAAAAGTAGCTTCTATATATGTTAAAACTTATATAACTGTACATGAAAAGTCAAATATATGCATATAAATTTTAAAAATAAAATTTTAAAGTAAGTTTTCACTCTAATATCCTTTTTTTCCCACTCTAATATCCTTGTTTACTTACCCAGAGGTAATAACTCTTACTATTTACTGGAGGTCGTTCCAGAATTTTTGTCAGCATATTCACACATTTTGTACAACTATCCTTCCTCTGTTAAAACATGGCCCAAATCACACAATAGGTATGGTTACCAAGTTTCCTTAAATACTATGTCCTCTCTCCCATGCTTCAGTATCTTCTCCCTCATTCATTTTATTATTATTACCCCCTCGAAAGTGTTTAATTTCTCATATATCCAAATTTTAAAAAAGTATTAACACTTCCAAGTCTGTTGGTTTAGGCAAAGACAGACAATATTATGAAGATAGCCCCCTCTAAGTAACAGATGAAAAAATGTTGAATCACAAAAATGCAAAAATTGTTTGTTGTTATTGCTATTGATAGTTATTTTATAATTATACGGAAGCAGTTTAGCACAAGATGCCAGACAGATTCTTGGTGAAAACTTTCATCTTGGTGCTTTGCCAAATACCTCATTTTTCAGATAAGCACAATAAGACTCAAAGTTGGTGCTAAAAATTCTTTCAGGGAAATTTCTGTACTTGTTGGGGTAGATGCTCTTTTTACCTCCCATGAAGGTCACCTGGCTAGATTATCGTCCTTGGTTCTGATCAAGGGTCTTTACAGCCGACCGGGTCTTTGCTGGTGCTGGTGCTTCTTTAGGGCTGAGATGAATTCCTACCAGTCTCCGACCATGGACTTTCCCTCCTGGGCTGGGCTTCTTTCCTTCTCTGGTCTACTTTATCTCTGCTCCTGATTCTACCTTCCCTTCCATTCTATCCACCACTGTTGTTGTTAATTTAACTTCTTCATAAGGGCTTCATTGTGTTACTTTGCCTCTCTGATAACATCAGCTGTTCATAGAATGTCCCTGATTAATCTGCTGAAGAACTGATAAGAGTATCCTAAAAGATATCTGGCTAATCTGGGGATGATTCAAAGATTTTGAGCCCATTCTACAAACATTTGTCACATCTGAATTGCACCCAGAGCCTAAGATATGGTGATGATTAACTTGGTTTCTGCCCCACAGAGAAGTTTGTAACCAGCAGCTTGCTAGCTGTGTGACCATGAGTAAGATTCTCAACCTTTCTTAGTCTGAATTACCTATTTCTCAAGATGACAATACTTCCTTCAGGAATAAATATATAGCTTTCATTTGCTGCCTCTGTACTATGTATTGGGAAATTTAGATGTGATATAGTACAGTGGCCCGCAACCATTTTTACCATGATCCACAATAAGAAATACATTTCGTGTGTGGCTGAGTCACAATGACACACATATACAAACACCACATCTACAAATAAAACAGAAGTTTAACAAAACATTTACCTTTGCTTTACAGGAGTCACTTTGCTATTTTTTTTCATGTTCTATTCAGTGTCATTTTTAATGCTAGTATTGATCCAATAAACTGATTTTATAAGTCTCAGTTTGAAATATTACTGTCATTGGCTTAAGAGCAGAGCTTTGGAATGAGACAGAACTGATTCTAGCTCAGGCTCCGTCTACAACCAGTTTGTGACCTCAGACAAGGGTTCTGATCTTCTGAACCTTATGCCCTGGTATGAAGATAATAACCCTGACTTCAGAAGGCTGTCATGGAGATTAATTCCAGTAATGTGTCTATGGCACCCAGGCAGTGTCTAGCACCCCACAGATGTTGTACAACAGGTAGGAATTTTGTCTCCTCTTGATTCTTCCCCGAATTATGGAATTTTTGTTTCTTACCTCTCAGCTAAGGTGAGACAGGTCTTTTTTTTCCTTCCTGAAGGAGACTCTGGGAACCAAAAAGTTTCAGTTTCTGCCCCTAGATGTAGGTGAAGACGCCAGTGACTTGAAGAATTGGCCACTCAATCAAAGGACCTCCATCCAGTTCAGAAGCATTGGCAGAAGTTGTCTTTGGTCCTGAGCAAAGAGTTCTTACCTGCCTTTTCTCATCTGTCCACCTCTGTGTTCTTTGAGTTACCAAGAGAGCTCTGTCCTTAAGCCAGGTAAATGCATAAGGACCAGCTTAAATCCAAGAGACAGACCTTAGAGGGCTATAACAATCTCTGTGGATTTAGAGAAAAGATTGAAGTGAAAATTTTTTATGAAAGGGTACTGGGGCTTGTGAAGGTG